GGAGGGGGGGAGGGAGGGGGGGGGGGGGGGGGGGGGGGGGGGGGGGAGAGAGCGTCTACATATACAAGGGCTGATTGTGCATGGAGGAGTACAAAGTTCCCTTCCTAGCTTCAGCCCCTGCAGAAATCAGTTACCTTCTGGTGGCTGAACTGAGACTAAACTTTGCATTAGTCCTGATGGACATTTAGGCCTATGTAACATAGATTTGGGGCTGAGAGCCCATGAACGCAGGCTGACTGATTCTTTTGCAGCAGGAGGTTGCCACAAATGGGTGGCTCTTCTTTATGGCCTCTGTGATGCACGTATGGGTTATGCACCTATGAAGAACCTCATTCAGAAAATTCTGCAGCTAACAGATATTTGGGCAGGAACTGCACCCCCCCCCCACTCGTGTCTGATTGGGCATGGCTCCTGCTTGCCTCTGTCTGTATTCACACATAGTGACAAGCCATGACAGGAATGGCTTGTTGTTAGGTGTGAATATTGGAAGCATGGTGAAATGTGGTAACTGTGAACCACCGCAGAGAACCAATGGTCTCTGTCCTATGCTGCAGTTTTATCTCTCTTTGCTATCATATACTGCAGGAGAGCCATAGATGCCCCTGTTATTTTAAGTGTTCCTTATGCTATTATGGATCTCGCGCATCAGGAGGAGGGCATGATTATTATAGAGACATCCAATATCCGTGCTCTTATCCTTGTCACCAGTCCCACTCTTTACATTCAGGGCTGCTTAAATTAATGCCTTCTCATACAGTACCTAAGCCACTAGAAATCCGGCCTTTGGCCCTAATACACTGCCAGATTTAATGTATCTGCTGCTCCAAATAAGTTTTCCTCTTCTGGGAAAATCCTTCAAGGATGTTCTCCTAAAAGAAGTGCTGAATGCACTGGCAGTTCAGCATATTCCCATCTCTGCCTTCTAGTAATGAAGTACCAAACAATACCCCCTTTGGTTCACAACTATCGCTCTGACTCTTCTCCTTCCTCCTCAGAAATTGCAGTTCAACACCACATGCAGTTCACTCACCATACACTTGGCAGGAACATTCAGCGCTTTTACTGACACACTCAGAAGGTCAGGAACTTCTGAGGACTGGGGAAGTTGTCCAACAGTCATACAGAAGCTGTTCAACAGAGGGAGTATCCTTGAGATCGACCTGTTTATCTCTTTGTTAACCACAAAATGTCAGTCCTTCTGCAGCAAAGCAGGAAATGACCCAGAGTCCCTGTGGGATAACTTTATCCTTTACTGGGGAGGAACTCTAAGACGTCTTCCCTTCCTTCTCCTCAGTCACAAAGGTCGTGAACAAACAGACAGGGCTCAGTGTATCCTGATCACTTACCATCTCTGTACCTTCTGGAGGATAAGCAATCCTGCACCTTCTCTGGCCAGGTTCTAGATGTCCTGACAGCTTCACACAAATCTTTTACTAAAGCTCTGATCCAACAACATTCAATATTCTGTGGTCTCCCAATTGTCTTGGATTTTCTAGTCCCTGAAGACTAAAAACCTAGCTCTCTCTTCCATTAAAATCTACTTAACAGCAGTCTCATCTAATTATGACATTATCAAAACATGTTCTGTCTTTTCACACTCCTATGCAAAATGGCTTCTCAAGGGTCTCACCAACCTTTATCTGCTGTGGCTTCCTTTGGAGCCTCTGTGCAATATTGACTCAACTAATGATGAAACCATTTAAACCATCAGCTGCTGTCTAGCGTTGACTCTTCTTATTCACCATTATTTCCACCTGGAGGATGAGTGAATTATGTGCTTTATGGCATGACCAATCTTTCCTTATTTTTCATAATGACAGACTACTGTTATGCCTAGACCTTTCCTTCCCTCCCAAAGTAGTCTCACAGTTCCATCCAATACAGGGCACTGCACTAAGCCAACCTCCCCTAGAAGGGTGACACCGCATTCATTAGATGTTTGAAGTGTACTCTCATTCTACATATCCAGGCCATCATCCTTTCACCTGTCACTTTAGTCCCAGCCAGTACCTACACAACACTTCACCAGGTGGATAGATTCAGCCATGATGTGGATTACTGATTAGCTCATCTGGTTCTTCTACAAGAAACCATTCAACAAAGGCAGAGATAGCTCTGTTGCCTTCCCCAGTGATAGCTCGCTTCCATAACTATATGGTGGACTACATAAAGTCAACTTTTAGCAAGATTTTAGCAAAAACCTTGACATCAGAGCTTACATGATGTACCTTCTGGCAGAACAGTCTTTTCTTCAATCTGTGCAGGACATTTTCCTCTTTTGCTATTTCTAATCACCTGTATGTGTGACTTACAGAGATTATGGAGGAGGTGGCTAGGTTGCTTACCTATAACTATGGTTTGTCAAGTGGTCATCTGAATTCAGATAGCCCACCTTCCTGCTAGGTTCAATGCTTTGCTTTTGATGTCTTCCTCAGCAGGAGATTCTGAACTGCAAGGGAATCGGTAGCCACACTTGGAGTATGTGCAGAAAATATGACTGGAGCTCCCAGCTTAAGTTCTGGTTAGCCCTAGAATGTTCTAAGTGCCTTTTCTGTACAGGTACGTAACTTGTATGTGAGTTAACAGATAATCACGTGAAGAACCAGAGTTACAGGTAAATAATCGGTCTCTTTTTTGTTAAGGGTGAATGGGGTATCATCCTTCCATCTCCTGGAGCCTCCACACTGTCTTTCGCCATCCCAGACACACATCCACTGTGGGGGGCTCTTAAGTAAACTCTTTTTTCACATACGTTTGGCCCGCTATAGTTGCTCACTGTTTTGTGGCTGGCTGCCCCACATGCATGTCTCTCTCTCTAGCTTACCTCATGCCCTGTGCCATACAGCCATGCTTAGTCAGGGTCTCAGGTAGACTCTAAGGTAGACATTTGTGATGTGGCTTCTCGGATGCTCTGCTGGATTCCCCATTTGTCCTAATTCCCCCAAGCCAATCAGGGACAGCTATTTTACTTTAAAAATGCAAATAGTGAGTTCTAAGACAATACCAATAACCAGCCATGTTCTTGTTTCTTTCAGTGACTGGGGACAATACCTGTGTCTTTTAAATGAGAATAGAGCACAGCACATCAAATTCAAACTCTGGAGGGAGGTAGCAGCAATGTTGCTTTGTTTCTGTAAGTTTTATTTATTGATCCCACTCCCTTTATGTGTGCAGTGTTGGTGGAAGAGATGAAGGCAGGGATTGATTTGTTTGCGTGTGCTGTGAGTGAACGGTCAGAAGGGTTGGTAGAGGAGCACCCCCCCTTGCTAATTTTTTTCACCTTTCCTTTCCCACATCTGTTGTCCTCAGGTTGCAGGAGTGATTGTGGAGTATTTGCAGCAGCAATCGCTGCATTTCTCCTCCTCATATGGGCTTGTGCTGCAGCAGAAAGCCTTCAAGGTAGTGGAGCTGAATATTGTGGGAAGGATACCACCTCCACTTCCTTGCAGTTCTGTCAAGTGACTTGCCTGTTCACTTTGATGCAAAATGGAGTTCTACTGGAGCAGGAATAAATATTTGTGTTCAAAGGGGTATGGGTATTTCTGTGTTGTGTGAATCAGACTCATCCCACTGCACTGCACACAGGGTCTTGCCTAGCAAGCGAGAAAAACATAAGCTGGGTTAATGTTAATGAGAATCATAGGGAGCTAGAATAGAGTGTGTACTCACTCTGCATGTGTAAATATGTATGGGTATCTGTGGGGCCTTTGTAAAATGTGGTTTTAGTTAGTCTGTTCTTTTGTTTAGCTGTGGTGTGTGCTTTGTGTATGTGTATTTTTAGTATGATGTACATTTTGCAATGTTTGTGTGCCGGTAGCATATTCCATTTTATTTTGGGATGGGATGGATCCATGGTGTGCTGGAACATTTTGCCTGTGTGGGGCTGGGGGAGGGGGGGATGCAGGCAGTGTGCATTTCTCAGTTCCTCAGCAGTGTGCCTACTGTGAAATGGTATTTTGCTGTGCTTTCTGAGGACAAATATATGATTTAGCATTTGGAACTATGCCTATACTCAGCTTCTGGATCATCTACAGTTTGCCTTCTGTGAAATGTGTGCTGGAGCGAAACATGTGAATTGTGGCTTTGTGCTTTGCAACCTGAGCCTAAGGATGTGGCAGAAATCTCAAATGGATTCGGATGAATTCAGATTTCTTGGACTCCTGACTGCAGAGTCCACAGCAGACTGGCTTTGCTGGAGTCACACATACTCTATGGACACACAGAGTGTTATTTTTAATTTTGGGAAAGATTTGCACCAATTTGCATTAGTGGTAATATGAATTATTGCAAGTCCAACAAAACTCTGCTAAAAATATCCAGTTTGGTCAATGAACAAAAGACACCTGACAATCTATGAAACTAAGATGGAATGGATTTAACAAAATCCATACATCCTTACTGATAGCCTACCTCTATCTTGCACTTGAGTTTCTTGGGCTGGTTTATTTCAGTTTCACCCTTTTGCCTCCTGGGAAATAAATAGTTTGTGACTGGACACACCCACTGTGGTAGCCTTTTAGTGAATGAACAAGCTTCACTCATGTCAACCATTTTGTTAGCGCATCCCCCACTGTGGTCTCAAACTGCCAGATGTACCCACTGTCCTCAAGCGGGATGGGGACCTCTTATACTATATGACAAACAATAGCACTTATATACTGTCCCAGTATATAAGCAGTGTAACAACCTAATAATAAACAAGTACAGATGTGGGGGAAGTTGTTTCAACAGTTGATTTATCAATGAAGATGTGATCCATGGCACAAATCTATCCTACTGAAAAGTAGCCAACTCTGCCTATCCCGCCCTTTCCTTGTCCCCGAGCTGCCCAAAAAGAATGATTCCCTTTTCCTGCAACTCATTTCTCATTTTAATCCTGTTTTCCACGCCATGGTCAGGTAGAATTCACTCCCACATGAATGTGAACTTTTGGAGTGCCCTCCAGTGGGACCTGCTCTTTGTCAAATAAAACAAGACAGCGACACGACTGTGTAGGAAACCCGATTATTCAAATTTATTAACATCAAGAATTATGCAATGATGCTGTAGATTTTTATTAACAAATAGAAAACAGACTGTATACAACAGTGACCCCTACAGCACTATGCTTTCACAAGGTAAAAATGAATGTTCTCTTCAACGTCACCACCCAGGATTGTTGATTTCAATGCAATTTGGATACATTGGATAATACAGTTAGAGACCTTTCCACCACCTTTATTCAAAGAGCTATGCACCTGGGAGAAGGCTGTAATCTCCCTGCCTTTAGTGCAAGTGTGAGATAATGAGGATTATTAATATATAGTACTGTTAAATTAAGTCCAGTAGTCTTGCCACATTGGTTAATTAGACCATTCTGTTGTAGTGGAAAATACAGCATTCTAATGACTTTTAAATGTTTACAGGATAGCAGAAATTATAGCCACACCCAGTCTCTGAGAACAGATTTCCTTACCTGAAGAACCCTGATTCCCCCCCACCTCCCCCATTAACCAAGGCACCCCCACCCTGGGGTTGTTTGTGCAGGAAGGCTGGGCTTCCCAGACTTGTGCTCTTTCACCTTGGGAGATGCTCTAACACACTCGGTTGGCCACAGTTGCCTAGGCGACAGCACCTCAGGATGCTACTGGCACAAAAAGGACTAAATAAATGTGTGTCTGTGGTCAGGTCCCTTTTGGGAACTTGCTTTTGCGAGTGGCAAGAGTGCCACCTATTTCCCCCTCTGAACAAAAGGGGATGGCAGGGCAGTGGGTCTTTCCCTCAAACAGAAAGTTCACATGGGATCTGCTGACATATATGAGGTCACTGGACACATGTCAATAGGACAAAGCATCGGATAGCTGCTGGAGTCCCACCTGACAGACGGGCCTATGGAAAAAAAGGCTTTTGGAACAATCATTAAGTTGGCTCCAACTCTGTAAAATTGAATTATTCTACAAAGGAGTAAAGAGGAAGGGTCCCAGAGCTGTGAGCCAGCCACGAATATTAACCTGGCACTGCCCGAAAATGGGCAGCACCACTATGGTTGAGACAACAAAAGAGTAAGGGGGGAAAGCAAAAGGAAATTCAAACCCCACCACCTCCATTCTCCTGTTTTGCCTGAGCAAAACATTAAGACTTGCAAAAGAATTAAAAAAAAAGATATAAAAGGCTAGTTACTATTTTACATATATAAAAGATCCCATTCCATCCACCCAGTGACTCTCACCATGAAATGCTATCAAGAGGAGGAGCAGGAGTGGGGACACTGACAAAAATTAATCTGGAGCTAGGAAATGCTAGAAGATGGTCCCACGTTTGGCGCTGTGGCAATGTACCTAAATACTGTGGTCAAAACTGGTCGATCGTAGGGAGGCTGTTGCCGCAGCAGCAACATCTGCACAGAAGGACTAACAAATGGGCGGCTGGCTGGGAAGAACCCGTCTCTGCTCTTGGACATTCCTGCTGCAACTGGCCGAAAGCACTAGTTACGTTGCATAGTGATCAAAGCTGCCAAGGTACTCCAGCGCAGCCCGGTAGCATAGCTGGTACTGGTCCTGGAGGAGGAGGAGGAGGAGAAGAAGAACTGGTCAGCGGGAAGCTCCAGAGGAGGCCACCACGTCCATCCCATCATGACACAAAGCTTGAACAGGAAGCAGGGAGGCCATGCCTTGCACCCCATGCCTGCCATACACTGCAATGCCCACCTCTTTCTTATTCTGCAAAGGAGGTGTCTGGCTTCTCCTAAGGCAAGCACTGGACTTTCCACAGGATGGGAGGAGGGGGAATTAGGTCTGTCCTTACATGTCACCCATTTCAAAGTGCCAAGTGCTAATGCAAGGCTAAGGGCTAATTCCCAGTAGAGCTGTAGTTTGGAGAACTGGGTTGTGTGACTGAATGCAAAATCCAAGGACTCAGTTTTTCAGTGATGATCACACTTACCCATCTGGCATCAGTATTAGTTCACTCCTGCCTTACACTACTTGAGAAGCACTGTGCAAGAGGGGATTAAAGCTCTTGCTCTGTGAAAGGGGAGATGAAACATGAGTTTCTACTCTCCCGCTCATCCAGCCACTGAGAAAAGGCAGACTTTGCACTGCACAGAAAGCAGTGCAAGACACCAGGCTGTCTCCATGGCCAACAGGACAAGCAACAGTGAGGAATCAGGTGGGAGGGAGCATCACCACTGCTCCTAATTTCGCTACAGGAAGCATGCAGTCCATTGCCTTCTCCCAGGAAGCAAGACAGCTCTTCCCCCTGCTTGCCTTTTGCAGAAGCAGAAGCATGCTACCAGCATCTGGGGTGCAGTCCATGTTTTTAGCCAGAAGGGAGCATGGCTATCAGCAATGCAACAGTATCCAGGAGGCCGTCAAGTTAGACCAGCTATTTGGGTTCCAGCCAGTGAACGGCCCGCCACCACTCGCTGGTGCTGCTTTTTGCATAGTACATCTGAATGTTTCTTTTTTCCTCCTTGAGTTTACACAGATGTTGTCATGCTCTGAGAGGCTATTACCTCCCATTCTGTACCTCCACTTCTGACTTTCCCAACAGGATTTTCTCCAGGAAGTGTACAAAATTTCCTGTGGTGTTTTAAACTAGTGATATAAGTTCTTGTAGTAGCAAATGACTCTAGAAAGGAGTCCTGTAGGAAAGAATTGAATGTACCCAAAGCAGTAACTGGTGCTCACATTATATTTTCATACTTTCCTACTCGTTGGGAACAAACCCACAGTGGGGCATAACTCAAGAAAAGATTATTTACTGGAAAGGAGCAGGAAGGTCCTCTTATAGGTGTTTTGATAGGGCTTCTTAATCTTGATCAGTTCAGTGATCTTCATCAAGTCCTTGATATGTTTACAATGCTACAGAAAACTTATTTGTTAGTACTTTGCTCCAGTTTAACTTATTTTATCTACTCTACATCAACATGGGAATGGGCTGATGGCTGTGGGTCATATGTTATATGTCACAATGCCCATTTACACAAAAGCTTTCCAATAGTAAAAGCAGAGCTTCAGCCTGGTTGTGCCAAACAGTCTTTAAATGCACCCGCCGCCACCGCCACCCCACCAAATCCCTGTCCTCTGTGAAGCAGCAAGTAGTGTGGCAAAGGGACGTACCTCTGTTTGCACCATGGCTGGCCGCTGTGTCCTCAGGGTCTTCACGGTCTGGAACATGTCAACCACGCCTTCGTAGCGCATGCGTTCCAGCACAATGCTTAATGTGATGAACACTCCAGTGCGTCCGACTCCAGCACTACATACATGGAAGAGAGAAAGGTGACTGGTTGCCCCAGCTTTGACTCAATGGGAGGGAGTTATGGCTCAAACAAAAACAACCAGAAGGTTTCCCCTATATTCAAGTCCTTATTCAGGCAAGTGCTAGCTTATCTTTATGTGCTTAAAAGCACAAGACACTTGCAGATTCTCACAGAAAATGGTTTCCATGCATAGGAAGGTGAAGCCTTCTATGCACCAGCACTCTATCTTTCTTTGGCAAGCCCAGGCATCTTAGTGTAGGCACAGAGAACTAAGCCAGCTTCTGTAGTTTGCCTTCACTGACTCTTACCTGCAATGTACAGATATAGGCCCATCCTGGCCAAATTGTTCCTTGGTTTTATGGACTTGGCCAATGAAGTCAATGAAGCCTTCGCCTGTTTTTGGTACTCCCTGCTCAGGCCAGTCAGTGAACTGGAACTGTCGGATGGTTCTCGACTGTCCGTCCTAGTTGCAGAGAGAGAGGTAAGGCCATTGCATCCTGGCTCTCAGGTACATAGCAACCTTTCTGTTCAGACCCTAGAAAGCCCTAAGGCAGGGAGGCCAAATCCCCCTAAGCTGTTTGCTTTTGTTGCTCACTGGCTATTTTATACCCGGAAGAGGTATAAGTAAGCACATATAAAATTCTTGCTGTTCTTTCTTAGGTGGCCTATCCCCTTTGGACACAAAAACACTGAAGCAAGACGACTTGTACTTTCTCTGCATAGTGACATGACATCCGATTCTGCACGGTACTCACCCTGGCATCAGTGACTTTGAACTCACGCAGGATATACTGAGGCATGTTGTATTCAGCCATGGGATCCACCACGAAGTACTGGTATCGAGCTGAGCGCTCTGCTGGCCAGTACTGATGGCATTTCTCCTGAAAAGCAACGGAGGAATCAGAATCGTTACACTCAAAATATGTGGCGCTTTTTGCATGAAGTGACTCAAACTCGGGGATTCTACAGTGACAATGCAAGGCTTTCCTTTCTTGCCTGCAGCTTCGATCTCTAACACAAGCTGCAAATCACTGATTTGTTTGCTCCCTCCCAGTGTGATGTGATTGATTAGGATTAGTTTGCTACTTGTACACCTCCATTTTCTACGACTTCTTGATGAATAAACAGCCTGCTCTTCCATATTAAGCTACTAGAAAACTCCAGTTCTAGCCCAAATGAACCCCTTTTATTCATTCTGAGCAGATCTATAAACCAGGAACCTGAAGCACTTACATTTGGGGGGGGGGGGGAATCCAAGCATTTTGAAGGTTCCAGAGAAAGCTTGTCTCACCAGCTGGGTCCTAGCAGAGCTTATCAGACATGCAGTTTAGTACAATGAACTTCATTTGCAATGACACCAGTCCCTTCCAGCTCTACGAATCAGATACCTTGAATTTTTTGGCACAGCCTGGGCTATACACAGCTGAAACCCTACTGTGGAAACAGCCCCAAATCATAGTGTACTTAGCATTAACACTTTCCTGCAGCTTGCTTACCCGTCCCATCTCTCGCAACTTGGTCAGCATCACCACAATGGTGGAATTGTGCTCCCACAGCATACGCCAGAAATCTTCTGTGGTCTCAGCCAGGGGTCCCTGGGTGGCAATGTAGGCCTTCTGCTGCCTGCAAGGGATCACACAGCTCTGAGTAGTGGCTGACTTGGGGATGGGAAAACAGTGGCTGACTTGGGGATGCTTAGCAAGACTGAGGGGCTTTGGGAAGACACTGAGCCACACATCCAGATCTTCCATAGCATTCAGAGGCACATGTCCCCACCCTCCCCTGCCAGTGAACACTGGTTTCTCAGTCACCTGATCCAACTTGAGATAAGCAGGGACTGTGTAAGATCTCTTGAAGGAAGCAAATTAATAACAGAAAGACCATGACTGCTCAACTGAGAAGAGAGATGCCTAATAAACTGAGATAACTAATCCTATAAGAAACAGTAGTTAGGTCTTTCAAAATGCACGTGTTGGCTGGGATATAATGCCAGCTTAGTGTTATAGCAATCCCAAGCATGTTGTTAATAACTGCTGGGTACTTTGAGGTGTCTCTTCTACAAAAAGTTCAGACATATGGTACATTTGTACATCACAGCAAAAGATGGAATTTCTGTCATTAAAAATCTAGTTGTGCTGCTAAATTGCACAGGGATCAAAAAGCACTGAACATAGTGTTGTATTTCCTTCCTCAGGGATCCCTACATCCACTACCAATGAAGTTAGATTTGTATAGCCAGTTTCCGCACTGGAGTTAAGGGAGAATGTAAAATCAGTCTGATAATTGTAAAGAGACGCTGTACCATCTTGATGTTTCCACTGTGGGGCACTGCAGACCCTTGGATACAGACCTAGGCTCTTAGCCTTATCCACTCTCATTTAATCTCTCTACTGGTGCTAAAAATTAATGAATCTGTTGTAGGACAGCTGTAATGTGCAGGACAGAGATGGAAGCTGCTCCAAGGTGGATTTATAAGACATCATAAAAGGCGGGAGTGGAAGCAAGGGGAGGGTGGGAGAAACAAAGGCGCTAATAAAGATGCAGCTTCAGAGCCATCTATAGCACCTTGGGCCAATTGATCTCTTTAGATAAAGTGGAAAACGATTGCTCACTTCAAAGAGAAGGACAGGAAGAGATAAACAGGGGCCTGCAGGGACGGTTTAGGTAAGACATGAAATGCTACCACCTGCTGCTTGGCAGGCTTTTTCACCAGCATCCCTCTCCCAGCAGTAATAGCTCTGTTGCAGCGCCAGACGCATGGAGGTGGCATCTCTAAAACACTTTGGGTAGTGGAGATCTGAAGCAGAAGTGGCCAGGAGCTAATCTGCCCTTCTGTCCCCAGCATGGCGGCCTGGCAACAGCCGAGGCTCGCTTCCATGTTTCAGCAAAAGGGCTCCCTGTGTGGCTGGAACTTTACCATCCGCAGGCCTCATCTACGTCATTCTGCACATTGCCAGTTCACGGCTGCTTTTGCAGCCCTACAAAGTGATTTGGGAGGAAGAAAGAGCAAGAGCAACGCTTCCACCCATGCGGCAGAGAGTGCTGCCTTCCTCAAGGATCCCCAAGAGGTGAACCCCACTGGAAGCAGGCTGGGTCTTCCTTTGTGCGAGATGGTCTGTTTTGTGCAAGATGGAGCAGCTTTAACGAAGCCTCTTGGATCCCACTGAAAGGAAACTGATCATGCAACTGCTGCATGGATGCTGCTACTTGGTGGAAGCGCAGAGTTTAGAGAGAAGCAATGGGCAAGAACATGGGAGGAGGTTTAGACTCCGGTCAGAATGAATACTGTACCTGTAACCATCAACAAAGCTGGCATTGATGTAATCGGAGCCCTCCACACCCCGGATTGGCTGCAGGCAAACCCGTGTCAGCTCATATGGCATGATATTTACCAGACGGTTTTTGAATTTGTTGCAGGGGAGATTGGCACTGATGAATCGTGAGGTATGTGCTTTAGAGTTGGCGAGAAGCTGTGGGATGGGGGGGTGGCGGGAGAAAAGACAGATTAGATGGGGCAGGGACACAGTGGAGCAGCAACTCACACAATATTAAGGATACATGCTAGTCACTCTGCTATGGAGACGCGCTAGAGAGGTGACACAGACCTAGTGTGCTGGGTACCTGGAACCAGGCAGGGCTTTTTCACACCTGTAGGTAAGACAAAGGGCATTTCCATCCATTCCAGCAGCCTTGAAAATAGAGAATATCCTCTATGTCCTGGCAAAGCTACAGAGGAGGCAAGTACTGGGCAGTGGAAAGATGACCACGGATGATATTGTACACCACCATCGCTCAAGGTGTAAAGACATGCTAAGTGCAAACAAAGTTGGTTTGTTACCAAGCAGACACACTTCACAGTATCGACCTAGCCTATCATGGCTCCTGGATGATGGTACATGGTATATGTTTGGAAATATATTTGTCACAATCACAGTTTACCTTTGCAGGGGCAGACTTGAAAACACCTTTGCTGTACACCTAAAGCTGTAATGGCAAGAGCTTCTAAGACTGACCTACAACTGGGAAGAGCTCATAGGGGGGCTTCCACGTTCATTCTATAACATGAAACTTCCTGGGAAGTGCTGTTTATCTCTTATGGGTAGCACTGCATCAGCTGATGTTCCTGATCCCAGAGACAGAGGCAGTGCTCCTCTGAGCAGGGCACATGTATTTGCAGGCCGGAGGCCCCGAGTTCCCCCTGGCACTGCCAGGCAGAGCTGGAAAAACTCCAGCCTGGCCCCTGAAAAGCTGCTGCCAGTATACTGGACTGGGTGGACCAATGGTCACACTTAGTACCATGCAGTTTCCTATTCTCTGTTACTGGTGCCTCGTGAGCTGTGGCTGGATCATCCTAACAGCTCAATACGGAAGACTGCATGGAATACTGTAACTGAAAGGGGAATTTCAGGCTTTTCTATCAGGACTATGAACTTGGTTCCAGTGAGGCCTCCTTTGTACAAGAGGCAGCGCAGGAGTCTGCACTGTCCCCTAGCCCAACTGGGGGCCTTGTGGATTCCACAGCAGGCTGGCTGAGCTTACCACCCTCTCCACTGCCCACCCACTCAAAGGAAGAAGCAGGCAAAGAGCAGCTCCCTTGTGTGATCTCCTCCTGGTGCTGGCAGGTCTTCTGCATCCTCTTCCTTGTTGCCTTTTTTCTCAAAAGGGCCAATGCGGAAAAGGAGCATCAGCAGCCAGCCAGCACAGAGTCATTCCCTACTGGGGGTTTGGTCCTGAGGGAACGGGCAAATGGACTGCAGTGAGGAGCAGCTAGCCCTGCAAGACACTTCCCACTTCCACTTGGAGGGAAGCTTCCCAAGGGCCCCGCAGCACCTAGAGCTGGCAGTGTTAAAAGCAGCACTGTTTTGCCTACAGCAAATCTGTAATTTGACTCTCTGGCTGCTGTTTTGAAGTGGTTATTCCCAGGGTAGAGCAGAGCATCTGCAGTCTTGTTCATGGTATGCCTGCTCTGCTGCTTCCCCACAAGAATACTGTCCTCCCCGCATGCCTTTGCTGTACAAATGTGCACCAACAGAGTACATGCGCACCGGCGTTACACGGCCACAAATGTGGATGATTGTGTTAGCAAGCATAGGCACTTGTGGCAGCCAGGGAACTTCACTTTCTTGAGCTGCACCAAGAAATATGCCAACTGAACTTGATTCTAGCTCTCCTCCTTCATACTAGGGAGAAGAAAGAATGGCACAAGGCAGGGGGCACTGGAGCTGTTGACATCTCGAACATTTAAACTAGTAGCATTTCCAGAGAAGTTGTTCAGAGCGGCATCAATTATCACTAATGCCCAATCTGCATCTGATTTTGCATGCAGCTCCAGCCTCTCTGCAGAGCAGTGCTGCTGAGAACTTCACATCAATCTGCCTTTTTATATCCTTCCCAGAAGCTGCCAATCCAGTAGGGAAATGTTGAGGACACCCACTCTGCAATTCAAATGTATTTTAATTGCTTCCTACCTGGTTTAGGAATTTACAGAAGAACCATTTTCCTAGAGAATCTGTATCTCAACTCAGCAACTGACTCCTCACAGTAGCGCACAGCTCGGTGGGAGATGACAGAGAGGGGCATGAGCCCGAACCATGCAGCCCCACAAATTACTTAGTACATTTCTGTGTGTTGCAGATGCCCTGGTGCTCACCTTAAATTCCAGCTCCATTGCTGTGACACTCTCGCCTGGAGGTACCTGGTTCAGCTTCTGGATATGCGCAAAGAGGTTGCGTGCAGGCACCTCAGTATTTCCACAGGTGGCTGCTTCAAGCAAGGCCTCGTGGATGAAGATATACTGATCCTCGGTCTGCACCATATAGTTCCTCTGTGAGCGCATGCATGTCACGTGCCCATAGATGTCCACTGTCTTCTCATGCTTCATTCTCTCAAGCATGGCATCAATCACGATGAAGCAGCCTGTCCTGCCCACACCAGCACTGAAACACAGGGCACAAACCAGGGCATCGTGCTTGTTTCAGAGCAAAACCTAACTCTTTATCATGTCCTGTTGCCTCCACCCTACAATGATGCAGGAGAGTCACACTTTCCAGAGAGTCACACTGGAAGGTCACACTTTCCATGTATGATGTTCTTGGAAGACCCCTAGGGAGGTAGGCTGAGCCTTGCAAATTGAGCGCATAGAATTAGGATGCTGGAATCCTCCCCATCCCCCTGTGCAGTGTCCTCTCTCAGAAAGTGTGTAAGCCCTACTCATACTCAGTGAAGGCAGAGCTGTGCCTTTTGGGGTGAAACAAGAAATGGATGTGATATTTGACAGCTAAGAGTTCTGTAGCAGGACATCTCCTTGCTGCTACTACTCACATCAAATTCTTAACAGGGTTTTAATGGGAAGAGTGCGTGTGTTAATTATACACCACTCCCATCTGAACCAGAGCATGAAGGGAGAGCATTAAATACCGTTTCTAAGGAGTTTGTGAGTGCAGCAGTGATGAAGTGGTTTGTTCAATAATAGTTCCCACTCAGCTGCAAGAGATAAATCACTGGCCGGATAAGATGCTGATTCCGACTGAACTAATGTTTGTGACTGAAGCAATCATTTCTTTCCATCCCAAAGTGTTGCAAAGTAGACCATGGCTACACATGCAGACAAAACTACCCAACACATGCATATTTGTGCTTCATGTAGATGTAGAATGATGCTCATATACATTGGCTCTCTGAGTGCAAGCACTCATTAGCAGAATGTGAATGTGTATTAAGTGTAGCTTATTCATATTATGCCACATTGAACAGCGATAGCTTCAGGTTTTCGAGGGCCCTTGGGCAAGAGATCCTCAGTGGGGCCATTCCCCAAACGAGTGAGCCTTCTGTCACCAGCTGCTGTTGCTCCTCATCCTCTATCTTATACCTGATACCACTTGCTTACTCAACAGGTAGAAAAACAGGGGGAAAATCAACAGCAGCATTTATTCCCCCTTGTCCACCACAGTTGTCTGGGCCATGGCAGACAGGTGGACAAGCAGGTTGAAGCGGCAGTGAGGAGATGCAAGTTCAGGGGGCTACTGTTGGGTGGGGGCCCTCAGCAGAAATTCAGCCATGCATGATTTATGCGTCCAGGCTTCTGGAATAGTTCATCATATTGTGGTTCAAAGAGATTTTTCTGTCTCGACAACAGATATGCTTAGAGCTTTTTAAAGTGCCATTTTAACATGTAGCAAAATCAAGACTTCATATTTATGTGGGAAATACAACCAGATCGACAACCTATGTGTATTGTGGGTGCCAGTGCATGTGTTCTGTGCACAAAGGACTGTGTTTCAGTCAACAATCTTCTTTGAGGCAAATGTGGAATTTCCCTTTGAAATTCTGCTCCTCTTATGTTAATTTTTATAATAGTGTTGCTGTTTCTCAGGGAAAACACTGGATTAAGAGTTTCTCTGATTGGCATTGACTGCAAAGTACTGTTTGTGGTAACGGAGGGATTATGATGCCGATTCCATTTCTTCTGCAGCAGCAGGCTGGCTGTAAATCCCCGGCGCTGGGCCACTGCCAGAATGCAGAGACTGGCTGGGTTTCCTTGCCATTCCACACTGCTGCCCTCCACGTGTAGGCACCAGCCTTACCTGCAGTGCACAACCACTGGGCCAGCATCAGGAGGATTGCAGGCTTTCACTCGTCTCAGGAAGGCTAAGATAGGGGTGGGGTACTCTGGCACACCGTGGTCAGGCCAAGCCATAAACTGGAACTGACGCAGCTCCCGCTTTTCACTGGACCCATTCTGTGGACAAAGCCAAGAGATACCAGCTGTTGGTGGTGGGCAGAGGCTCAATCCTCCGGCTTAGCATGTACGAAACACAAATTAATGAGACACTTCTGCAATCAAGTTTGCTCCACACCTCTTGCAACATGCACATATTCTATACCAATCTGGGTCTGATCCTGAACTTGCTGTTTGTTGCATGTTTTATTGTAGTTTTCAGGCCATAGTTAAGGAGCAGTGAAGAATGTTAAGACAGACAAACAATGTTTCCCTGGGAAAACATTTCACCTGAGTAGAGCAGTGTAAGAGAAACTGCAGGAATGAGGTGCACGAAGAGTCTTCAAGGCTTCCCTTCCCATTCCAAGTAAGTGAGTAAGGAAGAAAACAACCTCACCACACAGTATTCACACGGCACTGGCCCATGTAGCTCTCACTTAGTCCTTGGTTCTTCAGTGGGTCAGTTACTGTGCTTAGCCCAAGACTGAAGGAATGAGGCTGGAAATGGGCAGAGACAGGGGGACTGTGCGGTCAGTGAGTGAGTACAGTTGGACCTCCCACTGTACTCAGCCTAATCTGGATAATGGCTTCTCTTCCCCCAAGCATCTGCAAAAGAGCTGATACATCTCCAAGTGTTCCCACCTCCCAAAGGTGCCCTGGGCACATGCATCTCTTCGCCAACAGGCTTTGGATTTTCTACCAAGACCTTGGCTGCTCACACTCCCCCATTCTTGTACCTTGTTGAGTGCAAATGTCCGGACGGTGTATGTTGCAAGTTCAACTGTGTCAAGCAGTGTCACCTGGATCAATCCATAGGTCTCCGTACCACGGCCTGGCCAGTACTGGTCACACTTTACCTATGATGCAACACCAGAAAGAATGAGTCAGTGGCTGGGATGTCCCTAAGATGCTTCAGAGCCGAATCCCTAATTTTCATGTTTCACCTGCACTAATGTAGATAGAAATGGACAGACTTGAATATATAGTGTTGAAAAGCAAAACATTTGTTCAGGACATACATGACATGTGGATATTTTTGGGCCTCCTTCTACAACTGGATGGCCAGGCAGAATGCAAGGAAAGACAAGACTTTTGTTGCTCAAAAATAGGAAGAAGCAGCAAGGAGGATGCTAATGGGAAAAGGGAGAGAAACTGAGAGAAATAGTCAATTCAAAAGCAATTTCTTTCCCTGTAATTTTCTGTCCTTTCCCTACTCTTTGGGAAGATTGGTGTCTGTAGACAAGCATACTTATCTCTCCTCCCCCTCACTGGTGGATGTGGGAAGCTGGGCTATACTCTATAATCCTCTGTTTGGGAATCCGCTAGAGTTCCTGCCCTGGGGGTCACTGCCATCGCCTTCTTCAGGGATCAGCAGATTAGGGTGGAGGTGAGACCCTGTGCGTGGGCATGAAACTGCAGATTCCTGGCAGGAGACTGATTGCCAGCTGGTTTGTAATAATGGAAGCCAAGGAAGAGAAGAGCTACCCAGGCTGAGCCACAGCAGCAAAGGGGGGGAGTCTCCCTGTCTCCAAGGCACATTCAGAAATCTCCCAGAGGCTCTTGATAAGAAGCTGCTTTAAGGCTGGATTGGCAAAGCAGGCCCTGAAGAAATGCAGAGCTAAGACCACTCTGTCATGCATGTGTGTGTGAGTGCTGGGAGAAGCATGAAGCTCGTTCACTAGAAAAGCTGAGAATGCTTTTTGCTGCTGAATTAGGGCTGTCCTGCTTTTGAAAGGCGCCATGTGTCAGTTTATGATGCCTATTTTCTTCTGTTTTACAGCTGCCTTCCTGCAATAGCTCTTTGTCAGGTTCAAAGCCAAAGAGCAAAAATAAGGCATGTTCCTCCAGTTCATAACTGCACTAGAGATAGTCCAGTCAGTTGCCACTAAATCCCTTTCTGCTTCAACAGAGAGGTACTAGCGCTCAAAGGTTTTCCTAGATCCACACTGCTTTTTGACTGGGCCCTGCTCCTTTATTCCAAGGCAGAGGAAAGTAGCAAAATTTTCCCTCCCTCCTTCTCGCAACTCATCTACTACGATCATCTTTCAGTGTTTTCCAAAAAAATTCCATTTGTCTCTGCTGCTGCTTCTCTCACAAATCATCCCTTGCCCTCTTCTTTCTGTTGTGCCTTTCCCTCTTGCCACCTAAGCCTACAGTAAGTTTCTTTCTTACCCTCTACAATAAAGAATGAATTAGATCATCTGGACCCGTCAGGAAATATAGTGAGCTTAATTATTAGCTGTGTGTGCTTACAGGGAGTGTGGAGATGAGGAACAACACCCTAATTAGAAATCAATGTTGTTCTGCCTTTTAACTGAAAACTGTTTTACTGGGTGGGCTTTGTATGCATTTCTGGATAAGAGATAAAAGTGCACCCTAGAGCTTAGAGTAGTTCCACTGCCGTGTAACTTCTTTTGTTGTACAAAAGCTGCTTATTCCAAGGCATAGCCCTTTTCTGTGTTTGTGTTTAGTTGGACACAACTTGCCTGTGCAGATGGGGAAGACTGCAGAGGAGCTGTGGCTAGCTGTAATCCTGGTTCCCCTGCCTTTAACAAGAAAGGTTGGCTCCCTCGCATACGGCAAATAATGTAACACCAGGAAGGCAACAATGGAGGCCTGCTTAGGTTCAACAGATTCTCCCTTTTCTGCCCAATACTGGAGAAACTGCATTGCTATGTATTTACAAACACAAAACAAACTTTGAAGTAATCTATCCCAGGGTTTAATAGCAGAGCCCTAGCTGGTAATTGAAAATTATTTATTCATGACCAGATAAGAGTCACTCACATTTTCTGCCAAATTTACCCATAATGTTTATGCCCCATTTTCAAGCTCTGTAAATTTTATACTGAAGCTGATACATGATGGCACTAAACCAGATAAGAGACTCTTTCTTCTGGCATTGCTCACTTTTCATTAATGTCAGGAACACACTTGCAACCTGGAAATTCATTTTATGCTGGCTGTGCCCAGTGGCTTCCTCAACTTTTATTCCCTCTTCTGGGGGAATAAAAAGGCTTCCCTTTCATACAAGTGCTACAAAGGGAGAAGAGCTGCTTTAGAGCATCACTGTGACGGACCCCATCTGACCCATAGCCTGCAAAACTAGAAATGCAAGGTCTTCAATATAATTTGGCTCAAGGGCATTTGTATTACGTGGCACAGAAACTGTTAGACTGCAAGGGAAGTTTCTTCTTGAAAATGATGGAATCCAGTCAGCCTGGGCTATTTCCCCTCACACGCACAGGGCCCTGGAGACTCAGGACAGATTGTGTGAATTGCTAATTTTGCTGCCAACTGCAAACACTTTGGAGGCAGTAAACGGATCTGCTATTTGCAGCTTTTATGTAGTATACAAACATGAAAGGTGAAGATGATGCATGCTACCAAGCTGGCAGGATCTATAAGCTATAAAAACAAAAGCACTTAGCAGATTTTTCCTGCCAATTGCTCCTCCTTGATAAGATTTGGAAACCTTTTCAAACAATGAGGTCCCCCAAATCAGAGATGTCAAAGTTCAAGGCATCAATGCCCATGCATAGCATTGGTGGGGCTCAGAAAGGGGCTTCCATTTGCTAGTATATATTTGAAGCAGTTTTCAAAAGATCCTTGTGCTTGGAGATAAGAACATGAAAAGGTGGAAGTGATGTTAAAAGTGCACCCTGGCACTCAAGAATACCAAAGTACAGGATCTGCCTTTAGATCAGGCTTTTTCTCCTGCTTCTCAAGTATCTCTTTGCCTGAGTCACTCTGCAGCAGTTGTAATTCTTTAGGAGACTGTGCTTGCCTGGGTGTGAGTGTCTGCATCTCCAAGAAGTGTATTGTATTTGTAACTCTTAGCAAAGACAGAGCTCTAAAGAAGCATAATATGAACTCGGCTCAGTGCAGAGGAACAAGTAGGTAAGTGCATCTGTCTCCCCACCCGACTATGCTTGGCTGGCTGGACGGCAGGCTAGTTCACTGAAGTATGCCGCCTTGAGGGTACCACTGCATCCCCGTCTCCTAGGAAGTAATTAGAGAGGGAAGGATGGGAAGTGTGCTACCAGGAGATAATGTGTATCTCAACAGCAGTGAGGCAGGAGACAGAAACAGGTGCCCAAAGGGCTTTACAGAACATGTTATCTTGAAGAAACACACTCTGTGGAGCATCTTCTGATTGCTGGATGGCCCCAAAGCAAAGCAAAGCAAACTGGACTTTGGATATTCATTTATTCTGACACTGAAAAAGGGGTAATTTCTCTTTCACCTCATCTGCAAACACTATTTTAAATCTGTAAGGCCTCTTCTGGACTTCTAAGGCCGAATTAATATGTACAAAGCTAGCTGCGGTAACCACTTAAATGTGACTATATGGAGGCAGATCCATTTGGCAAACACCCCTCCTCCATCCTTGCATTTTTTTAGCCATTCACAATGCAAAGTTTGAAAGATAGGCGTTGTCCCAGAATGCTTAAATTGCTGGAGCCATGTAGGGAATAATTCCACACCCAAACCTGCTTGCCACATGAAGCTGCTACTACTTTGATACGTCTGAAGTATCGATCGGCTACTACTTACACAAGTAGATGGTTTCTTAGCTTTAAATTAACAAACACCTTCACAACCAACTTATTCCCTCCTTCGAGCAGAACTATTGCCACAGCCTTCCTGTCCTCCTGCCCAGTGTGTGCTTGAGCCTGTGTGCAGTGCACACGGATGCACGCATCACAAGTAGGAGTGACCAAATATTCTGATTGCCCCACCTCAAAAAAAGGACATGTGGAACTGCAGAAGAGAGTGAGTGAAAAATCTAACTGGACCATCTTTTGGGGAAAAGGCTTAAATAATGGGGAATATTTCGCATAGAAAAAGGGATTATCAGGAAGGAATTTGATATGTGATCATGAATATTGTAGGAAGAATGGCTAAGAACAACTGTCAGAAATCTTGAGGCCATCCACTTAAAAATAAAAGGTCTGTATTTAACTCAAACAAAAACCTGCTTTTTCACAATTCATGATTAATTTAATGGAAGGAACACTTTGCTACAGCATGTTGTGATGCCATTAGCACAAACTGATTTAAAATCAGGTTCGATAAAATATATGACGAATAAAATAATAAATGGCCACTAGCCATGACATTCAGAAGGCCAAAGGATTTTCATTTTTATTCCTAGTTTATAAACGCTTTGGTGACCTCTGGTTGGTAAGTGTGAGGCATATTGAACAGTGGAATCGACAGCATGTCAATTCTTTATTGAGCACTAGTATAGGCTCAGCAAACACTGCATATTCCCATGATGAATAAGGCTCCTTCGGCACAACTACTTGAATGCATATGGAGCAGGGGTTGATACATTTCTTAGGTGTGCTTTCACCATCCACCAGTACTGACAAGCTATTATTGTAAGAATTTCTGGGTGATTCTTTGTCTCCCTGGGCACAGGCTAGTCCCTACGTACTTTTTACAGCTCAGCTTAGTAGTCCTCTGATAATATGAGGGGTGGTGTTCTGCTTACAGTATTAGCTCAGCAAAGCCGAGAAGGATAGTTCACTGAATTTTCTCTCACTCCACACAATCTCTCCCTTCATCCAGCTACTTTCTTTTCCCTGCAAAGTCCCCATTTCACGTCTCTTGATTCACGTCTATTTGACTAAAGAGATGAGTGCACCACTGTACAAGTGCACATTTCTCTGCCCTGTGGTTGGCATGGAAACATAAAATATTCTGTAAGCACAAATGCTCATTCTAAGAGATGCTGCTTTCTGGAAAGCCCGCTGCCCAAGATTCCCCAGACTGGTCCCATGTCTTACGGGTGTTCCTAGGCACAGGCATCTTCAGCTTAGTGGCCCTTTGTAGAATCCTCCCTAAAGCTCTGCACATACCTTGGAAGTGCACCCATGGGGACAGGGACTGTCGCCATGGCAAGAGGGCTCACCCTTCAGTGTGATGCAAGACACATCTGCATACATCTGGCCTTTGTGTGAGGATGCCCCTTCCATTTCTTCACTTACAGATAATACTGTTGGCATGTCTCTCCCAAATGCATAGGAACTGACCATGTCAAAAGGCTTGGCTTGCCATCCCTTTTATAATCTCACTCCGCTTCTTTAAATGCCTTTGGACATCTTTAGCTTAAAGCCCTGCCTGTCAAGCCACCATTTTCCACAGAGAATCATGCCGAGATTTTATCTTTTGTATGTAGTTTTATGGGGCAAGATTCCCACCATGACTCAGTGATGAAGCAAAAACTTCAGCAGTCTACAAAACAAGTAGATTACTATTGTCCCTGAATCACTTCACCCATGTAGGCAAATGGTGCCTGATCTAGTGTTCAGATTAGGATTTCTAGAATTGGCTGAGTGGGGAGGACAGGAATGATGGGCAGGCTGGCATCAGTACATCATTCCCACCTTTGCCTGAGCAGCTTTAATTTCCTCAGAGGCCTGTTTTTCAGACTCCTTCCCTGCCCCAGTACCATAACAAGCTGTACATCTGGATTCAACATGGACAGCAGCAGAGGCTCCATTCATTCATACCCGAGACTTCTCCTCCAGCCGGGTCATCATGACGATCGTGGCTGTGCGCTGTTCCCACACCATCCTCCAGAAGTCGCTGAGTGTTTCTGGCAGAGGCCCCTGTGTAGCAATGTAGGCATTCTGCTTGCGGTAGCCATCGATGTAATTTGCATTGATATAGTCACTTCCAGGGACCCCTGAATATCAGAGAAAGCAGGAGGCTTCAGGCGGTTGGGCCATGTTGGGACAGTGCAGACACTCCATCTAGAATAGCATGATGTAACTGGCTGGGTGGAAGTGACGAGGGGCCCATTTTAACTGACATTTTACAGTGTACAAGGGGGACATTATATTATTCCACAGAACACAAGCAGCCCCAGTCAGATACTCTGGATACTGCTCAGCAACCAGCATAATCAGGAGATTAGGCTGCTTGTGTCTTCCTAGTGCCGTTTTTATGGACTGTTGTAAACTGCCCAGAGAGCTTTGGCTGTGGTGCAATATAGAAATCAAATGAATAACAACAACAACAGCACATGCATTTTGGAGTCAAAGTTACACACTGGGTTACAAATATAAGGCCATTAGTCACAGTGTGTATATACTAATACTAAGGTGCTTGCTGCCCATAATGAGCCATGTCTTTCCCTTCGTTCCGGTGTTTGTCTCCTCCAACTACAACACACTAGGTATTACATGGCAAGCTCAACATAGACCTAAATGCCCAAATTTGCAGGTCAAAGGTCAACCCAGAGATCATAAAATCCCTGCTTTTCCCACCCAGTCAGTGAAAAAAATGAGTCTAAGGACAGCTACAGTGCACAAGTGGTAGCCATGTTGGAGACCAGACATGGACAAATATCATGAATGGTAAAATGTATTAGTTGTGGACACAAGAGGGGCTGAATTCTTGCTGCTGACTCATAGCTGTGGCTGTAAGAGGCAACAGTGACCTTATGAAGAGCCCTCCAAAATGTTCTAGCCATGGCATCCCTGCTTAGCTGTTCTAAATTCAAGGTAGTGGAGGAGGCAACATAGGGTCCCATTATCTCAAAGATGCACCTTTTCCATTGACAGGATAATGTACAGCAGGCACCATGCTGAAACTCATACAGTGAGCAACCTATGGCTCAGATGCCCATGAATTAACACTGTCCAGAGACAGGCCAGTTTTTAAGAGGATTAGGAATAGTTTGAGAGGGCATTGCTTTCTGGTTTATGCACATACTTTTCTTCTGTCATACTGTCACTGATAAACAGCTTCAGCAGGTTTGAAAATCATTCACCCACCCCCTGCAAATCCTATTTAATAGATGTGCAAACTGGATAGATACACCATGGAAAGAACAGACAACAATTCATCTTTCAAACAGCCTTTGGAGAAGCTATTATGATTGGGCTCAGAGAACACAATAACTCACATTCAAGGGTTGAATGAGGATTATTGCTGAGCCATGGACTGTTGTTGAAATGTATGTTATTGTGTTGTCTGAAACCAGCTGAGAGAACAAACAATGGTGAACAGCCCTCAGTTCACTACTCAGCAACAAGCTATGGTTTCTTTTCATGGGTTGTTCTATGGTTAACAACCCATGATGGTTAGTGCAGCTGAATTCTAACAATATGATAACCCATGTTTCAGCAACAACCCACACTCAACTCGTGAGCATTACTCTGTTGCCCAAACCCAGCCTTTGTTTGTTTCTGGCATTAGATAGCAAGGCAGGATGAGGAGCAAGACCAAAGTGGTACCAGCCATCACCTTCCTGCAAAAGCTACGGCAAAAGTAGCCAAGAGGAGATATGGCTACTTAAAGATAGGGATTGCATGACTTCTGATTACTGACCAGTTCCCAGAGTGTTTGGATAATTGCAAGCCATCCTAGAAAGTCTGAGAATGTTTCAGTCTTAAAATGATGGGTGATTTGAGTCCTAGACCCTTCCCCTACCCAGTCATTTCAATTGATTATCAAAATGCACTGCTCTCTAACTTTTGAACCCAGAGCCAGAAGAGATTACATCATATAGCAGTGGTGGCCAAACTGGCTTGCAAGCCTCATGCTGCTCTTTGAGTTTATTTTTTGGCTTGTTGCCCACTGCTGCAGATGCCTGCCCGCCATCCCAACCTGCAGGCGCCTGCTTGCCACTCACCATCCACTGTCACTGCCCACGGATGCCCACTTTTCAGGTCTCATACTGAAACATAATCATACTGAGCTAGTCTGGCCACCCCTGTTGTATAGCATGGGGCTTCAACTGCTCATATGTGGTGCAGGGCTAATAGACTCACCATCAATGGAGATCAGAATGACACGAGAGTGGTCATAGGCAATTACATTTGCATAGCGGTTCTTTGGTTTGTTCACTTCTAGGTTGGAGTTCTCCCAGGTGAACTGCTGTCCAGGATCAATAGACTAAAGAGGAAAAGAGAGGAAATAGAATGCTAAAATACAGTGCTTTCAGTCAGTCTTTGGCATGTTAACAAGCTTTTGGCTACCAGTCACCCTCCCAATCCTGAAATTAACAGCAGTCACTCCTAGAATGTAAAACAATATACCAAGAAAAATGTGAAAGTTTCATATTAGAAATCAGCAGATTGCATCACATGATTTATTTGAAGATTTATTTGCCCACATTCAATCTGAGCAGACCAAAATCATCATCATCATCCTGCTTATAGAAAATAAACTTATTAATTGGCCACTTGCAATCAGAACAGTATTTAGTTTTTCCACTATGTGAACTCTCTCCCATGTCTGAAAGTCAAAAACATGCTGGTAACAATGGTCTTGTATACGTAGAAGTGCAGTGTATTGGGAAATCTGTGCACAGCTGAAAGCCCTGAAAGGGCAAAATGCCCCAAATATATTTCAAAGCAACCTTTAGAACAGAAGCACCCACATGGAGTTGATGCCTTGTTGTATGGACACAGAAAGCTGTACTGAGACAGACCACTGGTCCATCAAGTTCAGTACTGCTAACACTTTTTCCTGCCACATGTAGGGATGGCTGAGATTGAACTAGGGACCTTCTGCATGCAAAGTAGATGATCTACCCCTGAGCTACAATTTAAGGAGCAACAGGCTGACATTACCCTCAACAAAACCAGCAGACAGGGCTGGGTCATTGGAAGGAATGATGACCAAGTTCAAGGTATTGCATCAGCCCTTTTGGCAAAACAGAGCATCTTCATGTTAGGTTCAATGGTAGAAAGCAATGCAGTGCACAAAAGGCGTTTTCACAGCCTCAGCAGGGAGGATATGACATCACAGCATCACTAATAGGTGGTTTGGGAAATGCAGGATGTAAATAGACGTTTCCAGCAGGAACCCTATAATCTTCTATTATCAGAGTAATAAGCAGGCAGCACAGTGCAAAGTGGCAGGAGCAGACAAAGCACAGCTCTCTGTTGCTCATGACTGGAGCTCTCATCATACTAAGTAGATCTTCTAGATGGACGCAAGGGATGCTTCCAGATGAGACTTTTATTCTGCCCGACCTCATTCATGGAATTTTCTGGAGGGCACTGACAACAGCCACTGTTCCATTAGCCACTGTTTCTGAACACAAGACATTATGCAATGCAATTTTATTTTTTAGCAATACAATTTTTTAGCACACTGAGATAGGAAAAGTGAGGCAAAGTAGGAAGAAATACCCCTGCAAAAAGTAGATGACCTTTCAGCAGTGTCCTTCCCTTTTCTATTGTACTGTCATATATTTCAGGTTACATATCCATTTTGTGCACCGAAAAAGTATTTTCCGTTCCCTCAAGACTTCTTTTAGGAAGAAAAGCAGTAAGAGATCCCACTGAATACAGCAGTACTTACTTTTGAGTAGGATCTAGCTGTAAGGCTACAAATATCTTACTAGGGCAGAATTTATTTATTTATTATTTGAAATTTCACTATGCTGAAACACATTCTCTTTGCATCAAAGGAGTGCCTTCACATGTCCGGAGAAGGAAAAGGGTTTAAGGGTATAACAAAAACCTGCAGTTTCCTAGTCATATTGAGAAACTGAACAGAAACACACACACATGCAGTTACAGCCTTATTGTAATCATGTTTACCCAGAAATCTGAAACTCACTTGCCCTGTGCTGTAGGCACTTTAAAAGACACACCATGTGCTAAATACATAGCAAAGCACACACTTCAAAAGAGGAAAATGGGTGAGTGACAACCATGAGGGATCAGAGAAGGGACAATACTGTCTAGTTGTGATAATATGCCCACTGCTACGAGCTAGGGTTCCTCCCTTTGCACATTCAAAGCAACAGACCTTTCTTGCAAAATGTTCTTATTGACCAAAGGATTTTCCAGAAGCACAAACACCCAGAATGGATCTCTGAGCATGCACAGCATGGTTTGTTGAACACAATCTAGTATTTACTTCTTAGGAACTCTTCTTATGAGTATGTTTGGGGCCCATCCTTTCAGGAGGGGTCTTCTGGAAATGACCATGCCTCTTCTCTGTATGCTGATTCTCTAACTGGGCCACCCTCCTCCACTGACATCGCGTCATAGGACAAGAGTTATAACTGTCTTGTCTGTCTCTGAGAAGCTCCCCTGTTCAAGCCCCTCCATTCTCAGAGGCTGCCTACACCTGGGGAGTCTGGCCTTGAGATAAGCTTCTCTCATCTGAACATTTGGAATTGGCTCACATTCTGAGGCCCCCTCCAGCTCCTCCTCCTCTTCCAAATCCCAGTTGGCAGGCCTTAAGAATGCAAGCCAAGAGCAACTGCCTTCCTCACTCCCAACACCTGCTGTGTGGCTGGACCTGATGCTTCATCTTGAAGTCCGGCATTGAGCAGGTGGGCTGGACCTGATGCCCTTCCTGGCCCTTTCCATTCTACCACTCTATGATTCTATAAGGGTGCACACACAGCAAAGGACCCTAAAGAACTATGGCTGGGCTGTGGGAATTCTGGTTTTGGCTTACAGCAGAAAAGCAATGATTGGCAGTGCTGGGAGCCTCTGTCAGCAAGCACCAAGTCTCTCTGGTTCACTGCTGCTTGGAATTGTCCACCTTACAACTAGACAATTCTTGTTTTTCCCAGAACAGGGGAGTTCCATCAGGGTTCTCAGTAAATCTTTTTCTTTTTGCAATAAATCTCTAATAGAAAGCAGGTAATTCTCAGCTCAAAACACACAGAATATGAAGCTCCTCCCAAGAGTGACATTAGGAAAGTCAGTTTAGTAGTATTTTGATAAATAAAACAATATATTCTATGCCAGATCCTCATTTGATCAGGTTAGAACCTTATCTGTTCATGAATGAATGGCTGATAATGCACCATAAGCCAAAGTCAAGCTGTTCTAGATGGAAAAAGCCACTTTTGTAAACAATTAGGAAAATGGCTACTTTCTTTTATATGAGCACTTGTATCACTAGAATGGCTATGTACAGTGGAAAACTACACTCCCACAGGTTTTGTTCAAAGGTGGACAGGTAGGGTCAAAAGTGCTCAGGCTCACACTGAGCAAGCTGCAATGTCTTGGATGAAAAAGACAAGGGCAGCACACCTCGCCACTGCCACTAAAGCAATTGTCTCTCTCTCCCTCTGGAGTGAGAAGGTACAAAATCCTCCACTGTTCTATCACTAACAACCCCTTAAGAGGGCAAACAGGTGAGAAAGGCAGAAGAAAGAATCCACCTGGTTGTGAAGAGGTGCTAATTAAATACGGCTGCAAATGAGTGACTCATTTAGAAGTGAAATGATTTAATTTAAACCTCAATGATGAATTAATGTGCACCTGTTTCTCACTTAATGACGAGCAAATGAGTAAATAAGACAGGGAAGGGAGAGTGCTCAGAATGCAGCTGCAATCCATTACACATAGACCTCTGGATGAGCCATACTAAGGGAAAAGTACATCACACACCCCTCCTACCTCCTTTTCCTTGTCCAGGGGCCTCAGTGGGCTACATAAATTTATTCCTACTCTTGCAGACCAACCACAAACAGACACTACCTAACTGAGGGCAGTACCAGGTTTATACGCATGTGTGCGGGGAAAGGGTGGTGGTTGGTGGCATGGAATGGGAAACCATGCCCATTTATATGCTATTAACTTTTTCTCTACAAGGGTTCCTGTGCCTTAAATAACTGAATGGTCAGCAGAAATACAGAAGCTGAGGCTTATCCTCACATCCAGTAATCAGAGAACTTTACACTATTTTGTTGAAAGAACTGGAATCCTGCCAGAAAAAAGTTGGCAGCCTTTTAACAACACTGAATGTTGTGCAGGCTGTATGATGCTAACCTTGTTGATCCTGTGCTTTGGCTCATGGATGCTTTCCTGAGCTCTGAAATGAGACCTTACTCTAATGCAAGACGAACAAGCCTATGAACACTCAGACCAAGGTGACAGAATTGCAACATTTATGACCGACACTGTTGTTTAAATGAGGAAATAACAACTTATGAATCAACCACTGGCAATGTGTCAAATTGTAGCATCACTTCTGACACTGGAAAGAAAAAAAACCTAAAGTTTCTATGATAAGCTGCACTACAGGAAGCAATCCTGGTTCTAGGAGCATGTACATGGTCATGATGGGTCTCACAGATGCAGGAAGGGGAGACTGAAGAAGGAGCAGGAGTTGGTACCTGCAGCAACTGAAGACAGTCAAGCTGCCACAGGAGCTCACCCAAACCTGACAGAAGGAACAATGAGAAAGCTGCAGCTACATGCCTGGCTTCTCCTCCTCCGATCCCCTCTTCCCTTGTCTATTGTGGGTTGCGAGTTGATTCCTGCTCACCACAGCAGAGAGGAGAGTAGCATGGGCAGAAAGACTGTTGGAGTTGCAGGGTGGAGAGTGTTGTTACTGCCCACAGCCTGACATACTTGAGTTGAGCTCTGGAAGGGGCAGATAATTCTCTGGGAAAGAACTAAGAAAACCCCACTGGTCTTATTCTCCCATCAAATGGTGAAGCAGGGAGTAAGGAAACTCTGGAAGTGGGAAATTCTTTTAGAAGAACAGGAGGAGAGAGATCTGGTGCAGTACAGCCTACAGGACTATTTTCTGGCTCTGTCTGTCATCATGGGACTATATCACTGAACCTTGCTAGAGCTCCTGATGGGCCCTAATGCTGTGGCAGATGGTTGGAAGTGAACAACTGGGAAAGACCACTCAGATGCACAGAAGCATGTGATAGTATTTCATGATCATTCAAGAGGCAGCAATGAACTTACTGTCCCAGTAGGAGGTTACTAAGCAGAATCTGCAGGGCTTCCTCAATGAATGGCTTCTCGGAGACAGAAAGCTGAGTGCAGGGCATTCTGGGAGTCAAGACAGGCAGATTGCATGGCAGCAGTATAGAACTGCTGAGGGCCAGAAATCCTGGATTATTCTTTCCTGCTCTATGATGAAGATGGGTGTGGATGAGGATAAGGTGAATCCAGCAA